AACAACATAGAACAATGTTCACGCAAGACTTAAACTTGACCGCGCACTCTAAAATGTCACGAAGCGCCGCTTCGTAGATTTTTCGACTTTTCTTTCCCTGTGCGGAACCGCATATATAGTCGCGCAAAATTCCGCGCAAATTTTGACGACAAAAGCACACGCCTGCGCGCGAAACGGTGTGGTAGGGACGGGCGATTTCCAAATTTTAGTATCGCGATTGCGATTTCTCATATATCGCGATTTCATGCGATTAATCGCAAAATCGCAAAAATCACAAAAATCGCAAAAATCGCAAGAATCGCAAAATCGCAAAAATCGCAAACAAACGCAACAATATTTACATACTACCCATTATGGCACAAAATCTTTTTAAAAAGTGCCAAAACAAATTACTCAGTGGTCAAATGGCAGGCTAGTGGCACCGACAACACGCGCCAGCCTCGTTCGGTGCAGTGGTCGCGAAATCCATGCACGGTGCGATTTTTGCGATTTAGCGATTTTTTGCGATTTTGCGATTTTGCGATTAATCGCCGAGGGTCAAAAACCGAAATCGCACCGCGATTTTTTGAAAAAATCGCATCGCACACTGAGAAAACCTTACAAACTATTGTGGGCCTTACAAAGAAAAGTAGTTTGTATAACAAAGTATTTTGAGCATACGTAAGCTTACAAAGAAAATACTTCGTAATTTACGAACTATTTCTTCGTTTAACAAAGTATTTTAGTTTGTTATATGTATGCTCAAAATACTTCGTAAGGTTTTAAGAGTGCACCTGCGATTAATCGCAAAATCGCCCGTCCCTAGGTGTGAGCGACCGCGTGGAAAAACGGCGTGGTGCATGCGCACGTTCCACAGGACGAAAGGGCGAGGCGCCACCGGCTGCATTCCCCGCGTGTACAATGCATGCAAAACGCCGCAGGGCAGAACGCGGTGGGCAGGACGTCGCCATTGCTCGCAGGAAGTGGAGCGGACGCGAGCGGACGGCGCTTGCATTCCGCGGCTGCATCGCTCTGTCGCACTCGTGGGGTTGTCCGGGGAAGGGTGCTTTATTGCTTTAAGGTACAGTACAACGGGACTGGAGAGTCCCACGAGCGTATGTACCGCTCTCAGAATAAACTAAAGATACAAAATTGTAACAGAGGAAAAAAAAATAAAAATTATATCAACAATCGAAGAAAATAACTAGTTACATCAATAGCAGCGACAGTATATGATACACAATATCAATATTTAGACAGTAATTGTGCTTTAATGGATCTTTTGAAGGAAGTGACTGACGTATGACTTAGATAACTGAAGCCTGAGAACATATTAAATACTCTAGATGAAGATATGCAGAATGAATTTGCGTACTTTGCCGTTCTATGCTGTGGAATCAAAATTCTATCAGGGTGACGTGACGAGAAGTTAAACAGTTCAAACAGATAGTGCGGCGTTTCAGTCCTTAGAACTTTCCATATCAATGTTGCTAAATTTACTGTTCGTCTGTCTTGGAGTTTTAACAAATCTAGGCCAGCATAATGAGGTGTAATGTGCTCGAACAAATCAGCTCCAGTAACAAAACGAATACATACATTTTCAGCTCTTTGAAGTTTAACAGTGGTGTACTTATTCATATCAGTAAAAAGAGCCGAACCATAGTCGAGATGAGGCAATATTAGGCTTTGAACAATACGCAGTCTTATAGTTCGAGGTAGACAATCAAAGTTACGGCGAACCTGTGCAAAAGTGGCAAACACCTTACTCACAACTTTATTCGCGTGCTGTCTCCAGCTGAGTGTCGAGTCAAAGGTGACTCCAAGATTTACAACTTCATCTTTATATGGCACAGTAGTATCATTGATACTGATTAAAGGAACATCCATTAGGTTCAGCCTGTTAATATAAGGACCAGATCCTATGATAATCGGTTGAGTTTTGCTAATATTAAGGGTAAGATTATGACCAGAGATATACTTAAGTAGGTTTGCAAGATCATCATTCATCAATGTGACAGCCCTGTCGATATCATTAATATCAAAATGAACGTATAGTTGTGTGTCATCTGCATAAAGATGATGTTTAACATTTCTAAGGATACTAGGAAAATCATAAAGGTACAAAACGAACAATAGTGGACCAAGTACACTGCCCTGAGGCACTCCAGTTTTTACCAGAGACCAGTCAGAGATGAAGTCACCTGATAGAACTCTCTGCCACCTATTTGACAAATAATCAAGAAACCATTTTATGACAGATTCAGAGAAACCAATATTTCTAAGTTTTATTAGGAGCAACTTGTGGTTAACTCTGTCAAACGCCTTACTAAAATCCAACAACACTAATAAGGTCAGTTTCCTCTGATCAATGGCTAACCTTACATCATCCGCAATCTTTAACAAAGCTGTAGTGGTACTATGCCCCTTTCTAAACCCTGATTGAAGTGGGTTCATTATTCCATTACATATAACATAATCATACATCTGAGTGCGAGAGATACATCTGTGCGAGAGAGACAGAGCGACAAGCCGATCTTGCGAATCGCGCGGTCGGCTGCATTGGCTCTGGCTGTCGGTGCTGTCGGTGCTGTCGCGTGCGCGGCGCCCACTCGCCCCGCGTAGCCCCGCGCAACGGCCAATGCATTCATGCGGCGGGGCGGGGCGGGGCGGGGCGGGGTGGGGAGTGGCGGGGCGGGGCGGGGTGGGGCGGGGCGGGGCGGGGTGGGGCGGGGAGTGGCGGGGCGGGGCGGGGCGGTAGTCACGGAAACCCTACAGCCCTGGCGACTTGCGGCTCGCTGCACCACCGATTGCGCCCATCCATGCGTTGCCGCCCTGTCTGGCCACCCTGTCTGGCCGCGCCGTGTGTGCCTCGCCCGCGTCCGGCAAATATTGGCCCACACTCGGCTCGTTACTGACTTTTCCCTCGTACTCGTATTCGTTTGAGCAAGGGTGAAAACTTAATTTGTCATGACTTGTTTTCTTCCAACAGCTGATGCAATTGGTCAGTGAATCGCGTGACATAGTTCTTCACACGCGAAAAAAAATCCTTACGCATTTTTTAGCAGTTGATACCTTCCCTTGAAACACACTTAAAACTACTATACACATGAAGGTGTCAGCGTGCTTTTACTCTCGAGTCCAGAAACCAAGCGTGTATCCTAGCAATATATTAGTGGCTGGCTGCCGGGGCGGGCTGGTGTGTCTGGCTGGCGGTGAGGCGCAGCCTGCGCGGAATTCGACAATCCCTCCCCGGTGGGTACAGCGCCAGCGGCACCGGGCGTTAACAATGGCACCCTTTCCTGGCGCGCGACGGCCTGCGCGCAACATCTTTGGAATGAGCCCGCATACTACCCCATATAAGAAAACCAAACGAGTATCATCTGCTTTCATTAACGTTCGTTGAATGAGGATTTTTTTGCACATTTGTAGCTTTCGCATAATATCATGCATCATAGCGCATTAAAAAAAATGCGTAACCCACGAACCCAAAAAAAGAGTGCATCCGAAAGCAAAAGTACGTATATCATGTTTGCACAAATTGCTCGTGTAAACTGACTAAATGAGCAGAAATGCCGAAAGAACACAGACAGTGCGTGGTTCGCTAAATGAAACCTGAGACACCGCCTACCAGAGAGAGAGAGAGAGGGGGGGGGGAGAGAGAGAGAGAGAGAGAGAGAGAGAGAGAGAGCGCACAGTGGGCCAGAAGACCGGCAGGGGCGATCAAAATCTCGAACGCGTTTTGAGCTCCGGAGTCGCTAAATGGGACTCGACTCGAACCGAAATGTGTGACACGACCCCACCAATGGATTCCTGGTTCGGAGAGCAATCCATTGGTGGGGTCACACGTTCGGTTCGAGTCCCATTTAGCGACTCTGGAGCTAAAAACGCGTCCCGGATTTTGACCACCTCCACCGGTCCTCTCGCCAACTAACTTACTGTAGAGTGGAGCAGCGGACGGCCTGCCCCGCCACTGCGTTGTGCGCGTTGTGCGCGGCGGTCTTCTACTTGCGCGCGGACCGGCCGGAATGCGCAATAGCCGACCGACACAACGAAAACGAAAACAAAGTCAAACCGCGCCAGAGTGCTCGCGGCGCGGCACGGCGGCACACAGTGAAACCGAGCAGCGCGCGTCTCGCTCGTGTGTTCGGTGTTTGCTCGGGCCGGTGTATGCTCAGTACTGGAAATCCGTGGGGTCCATTTTTTCGTCGCTCGGCGCGACACGCCTTTGTAAACACAAAGGGGAAAACATTTGAGGGAAGGTAGGCAGATGTGGATATGGATGGTGCGGATTTCAGTTGAGATATTCGATCACTGTTTTCGGAAACAAAAAATTTGTTGTCCGCTCCGCGGTGATTGGCGGGATGTGGTGGTGCCGGCGCACCAAGGCAGCGACCAGTGACCAGGGCACTGCAACGCCTGCTCTGTGTTGCAGGATGTCCTTCCTCTCGTCGCTGCAGCAGTTCGTGACGAGCGGCGTGGCCAGCCTGAGCCTCCAGCAGCGCCGCTTCTCGCTCTCCAGGGAGGGGTCGGGCGAGGCGGAGCAGGCGCAGGGCAGCCCCGGCCCGCACGGCCCCCGCGGCCCCCACGGCCCCCACGGCCCCACGGCCGCACGGCTCGGCGGCGCTGGGCGCCCAGGGCCCCGCACGACGGGATTCGTCGTCGCCACTCCACGGCTTCCCCAAGGTAATCACCATCGAGAAGTATTCAGCGGCCGCGTCCAAAGCCCCGGGGCCGCGCAGAGCCGCGCAGAGTCCAGAAAGTAAACAGGAACAAAGCCTCGCGAAATTGGTGGCGGAGGACTGGGACTGCGGGGCCCTTGACGGGACGGGCAGCGCAAAGCGCCAAGCGCAAAGCGCCAAGGACTGAGTGTTTGCTTGTCGGTGCAGGTGGTGCCGGGGCCCTCGGCGGGCGCCTTGCTGAGCAGGCGGCGTACCCTGGACGGCCCGGTGGGGCCGCCGCCGCCCGGCCTGGCTCTGCCCGCCACGCCCAGGCGCACCAACTCGTTCCGCATGCAGCACAGCCAGCTGCAGCAGCAGCAGAGCCAGCAGCAGCAGCAGCAGGAGCAGCAGCGGCTGCAGGCGCTGCAGCAAGTGCAGACCCTGCGCAGCCACGTCTTCTGCCGCCGCCGGCCGTCCTGGCCGGAGGTCGACCCGCGCGCCACCTCGGGGTGAGTGTGTCTGCCTCGCCCGGGGCCTCGCTGTGGCGGTGTGGCGCCCCCGGGCACCTCGCCACCTCCGCAAGTCCGCACGCACAGCATACGCACAGTGGGCCAGAAGCCCGGTGGAGGCGGTCACGATCCCGGACGCGTTTTAAGCTCCGGAATCGCTGAATGGGACTCGAGCTGAACGTGTGACCCCACCAATAGATTGCTCTACGAACGAGGAACCCATTGGTGGGGTCACACGTTCGGTTCGAGTCCTGTTTAGCGACTCTGGAGCTAAACACGCGTCCAGACTTTTGGACACCGGCGCCGGTCTTCTGGCCCACTGTTGGCACGCCGCGCAACCCAGGCGCCGCTAGGCGTGAGTCCAGGGAAGGGAGGCGACGGGGGTGCGCCCTGCCCGGCCTAACAGTGCCCTGCCTGAGGGCGGTCAAGTCGCACTTTGCCGCTGTAGGTAGGCTACTTTTGCGACATGACCCCCTGAAGCCGTCTGAGGGCGCCACCTCGGGCGTGCCCCAGCGTGTCGGGTGGAGCTTTCAGGCTTTCAGTGCGCCATCCCCTCGGCCATCCCGGTCCATGGCGACACGGCGGCGACAACGCTACCGGTTTGTTTACTTTCCGTAAAGTCCGGTAAATTTATTCAATATATCCCAGTCCTGTTCCACGGTCTGCCTGGTAAGCGGCACTTTGTCGGTTCCCGGGGCGTGTCACCCCGAACCAGTGGTGGATCCAGACGTGTTCTATTGGGGGGGGGGTCATAGTAGCACTTTTTGCCTACTTACAGGGGCAAAGTAGCAATTTTTGCCTACCTTTAAGGCGGCCGAAGGCGGCTATAGAGGAGCTTTAGGGGTTGACCCCCCCCCCTTTTCCCCTTCTTGATCCGCGCCTGCATTCGAGAGTGTAGGCAATCGCGCGACAAAGGTGTCCGGTGGGACTGCCTACCTTCAGAAAAGAAAGGCTCTCCCGATTGCGATTTGAGTTCGTTATGATGCAAGCGCACTGTAAGCCGGGTAAGCTCTCGGTCGGGGCGCCTCGCTACGCTCTGCCACGCCTCGCCACGCTTTGCCGAGCGAGCGCCGCTGGGACGCTGCAGCTCCCTGTTCGCCTTTGTCGTCGCATTGCTGCGGCGCTGCGGCCGAGCGATCGCGCCGGCAGCGCACCGATTCCGCACTCATGGGGCGTCCCGTATTGACGCGAGAGAGACAGAGCGACGAAAACGACTCTCGGACTGCAGGCCGAAGCAGACGTCTGTCGGGAGGGACGCCCACCGCCACACAGCACCACGCCACGTGCCCGACGTGGCATTCTTTGGCGTCCACGGAGCGCGGAGCGGAGGGAATCCTCGACAATCCCACCGAACCTCGACCGTCTCGTCTCGTCTCGGAGGGAGAAAAGCGCGGGACAGAAATAGGTGGAAGGACGACCGCGGCCTCATGACACTGTCTCGCCTTCCCTCGAGCGCTCCAAGTCCGCGCAAGGCCTTGTGTCTGTCTGCTCGCGGCGTGCGTCCATGCCCGCTTTCCCTCGTAGGGGTGTCTAGGGAATGGAGCGCGTCCCAGCGGTCTGTAAAACCCCGGACGCTTTTTGCGGGATCTCGTCGGATTCATGGTAAAACTCTACGAAGAATCGCTTCCTCATACGAAGACTATAAAGGCATTGTAAAATCTACGAAGAAATGATTCATATTATGAAGAAAAATCCCTCGTAATGCGAGGCATTTCTTCGTAATACGAAGCAATTCTACAGTGCCTTCATTTTCTACGTAGTTACTGCACGAAGCAAATACTTCATAAGCTTCTTTGAGTGTTCTTGAGATCTAAAGTGGATAGATTATGTGAGACCTCACAAGACCTTTTTTTTTTAAACCTGGTGATATTTGGAGAGATGCGTGTCAGAAAATCTGAAGAGATCTCGTGTCGGTTTACGGGTCTCTTTTTTTTCCTCGTTACCATCTGGTATTCTTTTCAGACCTCTGGAGAGTACCGAAAGAGCAAACATACCACTGGACTCTTGGGGACGTTTTTGAATGCTTAATTGCGCATGCACACAATGATGCATATTATCATGCAGAGCTCACGTACGTGTCTGTGCGTTCCTTAGTATGCATTTAAGGAGTCCACGCGAGCTTTTAGCATCGTGGCTGGAAAAGTCCAGAAGAACCGGTCGAGGCAAAAGCAAAAACTCAAGAAGTTCAGCAAAGTCCTAAATGCGACTCGTAACAGCAACAAGCACTATCTACGTATTCTCGAAAAATCTACGAACAGCCTTTCGAAATGGCTAATCTAAACGGGCTGTTGGATAAAGACTATCTTTTTAACCTCGGAATTGAAGTGCATTTATAGTCAACAATTAGTTGCCTT